GCCACAGCACACAACCACCACCCACCATAATTTTTGCGCAATTGTCCATACTATCCATTTTGCAATAACATGTGCCATCTTGATCGCTAACAATATGTGTGTATGTCTTCTATCTCTCACTCAATCAGCAACTCTGTTTATTCCATCTAGCACAGAATCTGAATATACTCAGGATATACTTGCTAATGGATTGAGAAATTGTTTCATGCTGAAATTATACCCTACAAGTGGTAGAGTAAGCACTGGAAATGGAAGGGGATAGGTTGGAAAGGGGGAATGCAGGGGGCCAGGGGAGAAAGTGACATTGTGTGTGTGTGTGTGTGTGTGTGTGTGTGTGAGAGAGAGAGAGAGAGAGAGAGAGAGAGAGAGAGAGAGAGAGAGAGAGAGAGAGAATCTAGGAAAAGTAGATTCCTCTGTATAGGTGCTGGTAGAAGACACTATTCAAAAGGACTCTGATGAGATTTCATAGTTTAGGAATCTCACTCTACTGAAATCATTCCAAGCTCAGAAATAATGATTCATTTGTGATAGTGGTTCAGAGACAACTCTATCCATTACTGAGGGGTATTGACTAGGCTGGTTCCTGGGGAAACTGACTTCTGATTTGCAACAATAGCCACTGTGGTCTGGTTCTTGAGATTTCACTCAACCCAAGAAAACTGCCAGAGTCCCTTCTCAATCCCCAGATGAAGGCATGTGTGAGGAGTATCTTTTGTCTCTGTTGTTGTTATTATTAGTGGTGGTAGTTGGTGGGTGGTATGGTGGTGGTGATGGTGGTGGTAGGTGGTGGTTGGTGTGGTGGTGGTAGATGATATGGTGTTGTTGTTGTTGTTGTTGGTGGTAGTGCTAGTTGGTAAGTAGTGGTGGTGGTGGTGGTAAGTAACAGTTGGTATGGTGGTGGTGATGGTGGTGGTAGGTGGTGGTTGGTGTGGTGGTGGTAGATGATATGGTGTTGTTGTTGGTGTGGTGGTGGTAGTGCTAGTTGGTAAGTAGTGGTGGTGGTGGTGGTAAGTAACAGTTGGTATGGTGGTGGTGATGGTGGTGTGTGCCCACAGTAGGATTTTTTCCCTTGCTACCAGCAGGATACAAACTCTGTAACTTGTTTGGAAACAGAATAGGCTGCCTATGCTATCTTCTCCTCCATTTCTTTTCTCTGTGAGAAAGTGGAAAGCTGATTTTAATGGATTGATTTTAATGGATTTTGAAGTCTGGAAAAGTGCCTAAATTGCTGAGGTTTTCAGTTTTCCAGGTTCTTTTTTCTATTTTATTCTCCTTAGTCAGACATCTAGCATGCTGGCTAGGCAAATAGTATGGTCACCCAGACGAGAAGTCTCCCACCTGTCTCCACAGGCAGCTAAGAGGACCCCCCTCAACTGATGGAAGCACCTACTATTTGGTTGGGTGACAGTATATTGCTTGATCTTGTCTCTGTATTAGCTAGCAACACCCTTCCTCTGATTTCAAAGAAGAGAAGCAACCAAAAATAACAACACCAGTGCCGCTTTCTGGAATCAAGTAACTCCACTCCAAAGCATAATTTTATTTGATCATTTTGTTATTCATTTGTATCCACATGAGATTGTGCAGGGACAATGCACTCTGGTAACTTCAACTGGGTGGATCTTAAAAATTTATGGATAGCATCATGAAGAATGGGAATTCCAGAACATTTAACTGTGTCCATGAAGAACCTGGACATAGACCAAGAGAAAGTGATTCAAACAGAGCAAGGGAATATGGTGTGGTTTAAAATCAGGAAAGATGTGAGGGTTGGATCCTTTCACCATACTCATTCCATTTGAGTATGGCAAATAATCTGAGAGGCATCCAGCATCAGGATTGGAGGAATACTCATTGATATGCAGATGATACAGCCTTGCTTCCTGAAAGCAAAGAGGATTAGAAGCACTTACTAATGCTTCAAGACTAAGCTTTCAATATACATTACACCTCAATATGAAGAAAACAAAAATCCTCACAACTGCACCAATATACATCACCATGATAAATGGAGAAGAGCTTGAAATTATCAAGGATTTTATTTTACTTGGATCCACAATCAACACCCATGGACGCAACAGTCAAAAAATCAAATGATGCATCCAACTGGCAAATCTGCTGCCAAAGGACTTCTTTAAAATGTTAAAAATCAAAGATGTCACTTTGAGGACGAAAGTGTGTTTGACCTAATACATGGTGTTTTCAACTGCCACATATGCATGTGAATGCTGGCTAGTGAAGAAGGAAGACTGAAGAAGTGATGCCTCTGAACTATGGTGCTGATGAACAATAGGGAACATACCATGGACTGACTGCCAGAAGAATGAAAAAATATGTCTTGGAAGAAGTACAATCATAATGCTCCTTAGGAACAGATAGGGAGAGTATGTCTCATGTACTTTGAACATGTTACTAGGAGGACTCCATCCCTGGAGAAGGATATAATACTAGGTAAATAACAGGATCATCAAAAAAGAGGAAAACTTTGAAGAAGATGGATTGACACAATGGATCCAACAATGGGCTAAGAATAGCAATGCTTGAAAGGATGTGCAGGGCCAGTTAGTGTTTTGTTTTGTTGTACAGAGAATTGTTCTGAATTGGCAATGATTTGACATCTAACAATGGCAACAGCTTTGAACTATGATCCTCTTACCCTTGTTCCTCACCCTGTGGGCTGTGCCCATCCTGAGAATTGTGTGATGAGTCCCCCCCATGGGGTCTTTGAAGAAAGGACGGTATCCCAGTCACTGCAAGAGGACTCTAGGCTCTGTTTAAGTTCCCCTGTTGGCTTCTAGCATCACCCTTCCCATTTCCCAATATACATGCATATTTCTCGCCCACCCCCCCCACCCCC